TAAGAGACAACAGATATGTGATGGTAACAGATGGTAACAGACAACAGTTGTGTGATGGTAACAGATAGTAACAGAGAACAGGTGTGTGATGGTAAAAGATGCTAAGAGACAACAGATGTGTGTGGTAACAGATGCTAAGAGACAACAGATGTGTGTGGTAACAGATGCTAAGAGACAACAGATGTTTGATGGTAACAGATGGTAACAGACAACAGGTGTGTGATGGCAACAGATGGTAAGAGCCAGCAGGNATGGTAAGAGACAACTGGTGTGTGATGGTAACATATAACAGACAACAGGTGTGTGATGGTAACATATAACAGACAACAGGTGTGTGATGGTAACAGATGGTAAGAGACAACAGATGTGTCATGGTAACAGATGGTCAGAGACAACAGGTGTGTGATGGGAACAGATGGTAACAGATAACAGGTGTGCGATGGTAACATATAACAGACAACACTTGTGTGATGTAACAGAGAACAGGTCAAACAGCTGACCATGGGAAAGTACTGGAAAAATGAACTGGTGGCACTAAATACCAGAAGTAAAGTCAAGGAGAACAAAACCCAGAAAATAAACCATAAATAACCAAACAAACAACAAACAGATCCTGAATCAACCATTCAACTAAAAATCTACATCCTGAGAGCAGAAATGTCCTGACAGAACAACCACATCCTGTTACAGACAGCAGTCTCTCTGAGCTCACAGTTTCTTAGCTGAAGTTTGACTCGTTCTTTCAATGCCCTGATTTGTTTTGTGAAAAAGGAAACCTTGATTCTGAGGAGGAGGTGTTGTAGGAACTCGTTATAAAAAGTGTTTCTGTGTCCAGAGGAGCTAACGTGACTTTAACGTGTGAAGAAACATGTTGGACCTGAAAGGTTTCAACACACGGAGTCTGTGGATCACTTTCATGCTTTCAGGTAAAACTAAACATTTTCTACTCTCTCATCTAAAATATCAGTCTGGATGAATGTTTGGTTACTGGAGCTAAAAGAAAATGCTGCTTAAATTGGGACTGAATTTTTAATATAAATTGTCTATATACAGTGGTTTGCAAAAGTATTCATACCCCTTGAACTTTTCCATATTTTGTCACATTACAACCACAAACATAAATATATTTCACT